AGCTGGAGGCGGGCCGCAGGTACGCCCCTCTCCGTGTCCTGGGAGGAAATGAACCTTCCCCTGTTGTGGTCCTGTCACCTCCTCTCCAACAACCTCTATTTAATCAAGCATGAGAGCTGAGGAGGAGGGTTGGCTTTGATTCTTCGTACTGAAATGCTTCAGAAGTTGATTTTCTTTCCTGCTTTTAACTGTTTTCCGGAAAACGTGTGTGTTTGGGAGAGGGTATTACCTGAAGGACACTGCACAATACAAACCCAAATACAAACCCAAACAATTTCTGTTTGCTTTCTTGTTTCACAGTGGGCCGGTTTCACTCCCCATTAAAGAACAATTCTAGTTGTAATCTCATTTGTAAGATTAGTGAACTTAGTTCAGGCTTTAAGCCTCAGTGTTTAGGGGCTTTTATGTGAAAAGCCAGGGGAGGAAGTTCAGCTGTGCTCTGCATAAAAACCTTGACTTTTTCAGTGTGGGAAAACTCAAAAAGGTGAGGAAAAAAGTGTTGCAATAATATAGATTAAATGACAATTACATCTTTATTTTTTGATATACTGTAACCATTGCTACCAAATAGAACAGCAATGGTTTATAACTTATTTACCAGTGTATAAATGTGAAAAAGTATCAGCCAAGTTTAACAGGTGTTCATCCTGAAATGTAGTTAAAAATACATCTTTATTTTTGTGCTGTGTTTTTTCCAGCCTAGTAATCCGTGGTGAAAAGGATGAGCAAGCAGTGTTGTGCAGCAAAGATAAAACTTTTGACGTGAAAATAGCAGATACCTCAAATATGCTGCTGTTTATTCCTGGTTGCAAAACTCCAGAACAACTGCAGGCGGATGAAACATCGAGTAATATTATTCATTCACAGGTATGTCTTTCTGAGGTCTTGTTTGTTTGCTTTAATTCTCTACTTTCTTTTTCTCTATAATTTCTTTTATGCAAGATGAGTACGTGAAGCCTGGCTGGGATTCGGTTCCCTAAAAATATAGGTTTCTAATGCCATTTTAGATGCCTTGTGGTATTGATCTCGCTTCAACCTGCCACTGCAGAAGAATGTGATTCTCCTGTAGGTTCTTTGTATATTGAATAGCCCCAGGAGGACATCTTTTATAAATGTGCTTTATACACAGGGGGCATGCTATACCTGGGGTGTTCAAAATTACTCTAGGGCCTTTCTCTAGGCAACCATAATGCATGATAATTATTGTTTCTAAGAAGTGAAAACTCTTGGTTTATTTTCAGTGGATAGTAATTACTTGTGGTAGCTATTAAAAGCCTTCAGAGAAAAATCTAATTTCTCAGTGTTAGCAGCAGTTTTTAAAATAAGCTGTTTGCAGATTGAGTCGTCGGAGTTCTGTCCCCAAAAGGCAGATTGTACTATGCTATGCCTGAATATTATTTTTTTAGATACACAAATATATATTCAGAGATGACTCTCAGATGGCATCTGGAAGATTTTGTTGCACTGAATGATTTTAGAGTTCTCAGTTTAAAGAATTTGTTGTTCTCTTCTGAAGCATAGTTAGTAAAATTCTGCTAAAAATAGTTAGGCAAATATTGTCATTATTTGCTGTAATGGATTTAATGACATCATTGAGGAGTAATCCTGCTCATCCGTAGATGAGCATAATAATCAAAACAACATCGTTTCTTCTGTGAAGTCAGCAGTTCAGCTAATAGGAAAAGTTAATTCAAATTGAAGTAGATTAATGAGAAAGTAATATTCTTCCATATTCCTCTTTTGCTGTGTTTAATGATCTCACTAGTCCTCTGAAGGCATACATGCCAACATAATCTAAATGTGATTTGCTTAGGAATTACATTTGGGGTTTTATTTCTGAGAGCTTTCTTAACGTTTTGAAAAAAGTTACATGGCATATTGACACTGCAAATTGGGAAAAGCAGCAAATTTATTGAGTATTTTGAGGCTTCACTGCACTTCTGCAGTCTCAGCGCTGCCCTCCGTACCACTTGCAAAGCTAACACTCATGGCCAAAGCATCTGCCATTTTACTCACACAGACCAGCTGCAGTAAGACATTTGGGATTACAGATAAGAATTATTTTATTTTCTAGGCAGAGTACCTTCTTGTTCATTACCAAATTGTGCAGAAAATAGGCAGGGAGGTAAATGCTGTTTGACATGGAGGGGAAAAAAAGCTTAGACGTTTATCAGGAAGTTAGTATTTACCTGAATTTTGTGCCAAGCAAGCTACAGAATAGTTAGATTGAAAACTGAGAGCTCCATTTGAATTTGGGTAGGATGTGCTTATAGGTGATTTAAATGGAACATTATTTTATTTGGGATGGGTGACCTTAAGGGGAAAAAAGTATTCTGGCAGAGCATTTAGGGTATTTTAAAGTACTGCTTGGAGGGTCTTAGAAGGGACTTGTGTCTGATGTGAAGCCTGTTCTGCTTCTGCCATTCTGTGCCACTTCTGTTGGGTTGGTAAAGAGCAGAAATGATGTGGAAAGGACACTGATACTCTGTCCTCTTCAGAGAATCTTCTAGGAAGTCCAAGCCTGTACCCTCTGAAATGCATCAGGGTTACCCTGAAGGTAAAGTTTTACTGGATTACACCTGAACTTTCTGTTGCACACTTTAAATGTGTGTCTTGAATCGGAGTATGGAACAGAGATGTCTTGTTAGTTGTGTGCAAGTGCAGTTTACTGTACCATTAATGTCTGTTTTACTTGAGCTTAGTGATGTGGCGATTCATTAAGCTGTAAAATGATGACAAAGTAGATGCCAAGCATGGGAAGAAGTGGGGAAAATGGAAGCAGAGCAATACAGGAGGAGTTTTATGGCAGTATTATAACTTAGTATTGAGAGGAAAAGAAATGTTGATGAGGACTGTGCAGGAATAAAGTCCTTTTTGATATTTTGTCACTTGCATGTAGAAATTAGTTGTTCCCTTTGTCATATGCACCATGAGCATATTTTTATCAGCCAACAGTATTTTTTAGCTCTTCAGTGCCTAAGGGAATTTTTTTTAATTGAAAGTATGACAATGCTTGTTTCATCTTTACAGTAGTTACCCAATTAATAAATTCTTGTTCTCAGTGACTAAATTAATACTTTTTGCTGACAATTTTCAGTGAGTTTCTTTAAAGCTAAGTGGTAGAATGAAATGTTTTAAGAGTCACCGTTCTTTCTTGTAGATTGCTGGCTTCTCCAATAACTATTGGGAATTAAGGAGATGTCGACCAAAACTGAAGAAACTGAGGAAGCTTTTAATGGAAGATCCATATGAAGGGCCAGACAGTCAGAAAGATCAGACTTCAGCATTTTCAAAGGTAAATCAGCGATGTAAATTACTTTTTCATAATTGGTAATGGGCTAATTAAATTATTAACTAGCTAAATACCTTCGCTTCCATGTTTCACAGTGCTGCTTTGATTTAATTTTTTAAGCCAAGTATTCCAAAGAAGTTGGTAATTATTAGCACTTCCACTGAGTATCAGGTGAGCAACCTTTTTTTGTAAAAAGAGAAAAAGGAAGGGCACTAAAGGAGACCAGAGATTTCCCTTTCTATGTGGGGAGCTTCTTGAAGGCAGGCTTCAGAACCTTATGTAAATTCCTTGAGTTACATGGTTGCTAATGTGCAGTGTAGCCTTTCCTCCTTCTTTGGGGCTCTCATGTATGACATGTCATGTACGAGCTAAGTATGAGGCCACAGGACACCCATGTACAAGTCACTTGTCAGTCAATAAGTTATGATGACAAACAGAAGCAGGGAGTTGCAGAAAATTATGAGGAGGGTACAAGGCTGACAAAAAGATTGACAGTACAAGAAGGGAAAGCACAAATAAAATCCCGTTCTCTTGCCCTTTTAGGTTTCCAGGAAATCCAATTTAGGATCTCAGTAGTAAGGGAGAGATCTGGGCTGTGCAACATATGATCTCAATTAAAAGGCTTATAAAAATCATGGAATTTTGTCAGTTTGGTTGGTTTTCCTTTTGCCTTTAAGAACCAGAAATGGTTACTCCAAAGCATTTCACACTGAGGCTTGATTGAAGCTGATAGTAGCAAACCAGCTGCTTGTGCTTGCATATAGAAACACAGGTGTTAGTTTTCTCCCTTGGAGAGAAATGCTGCCTCTCTCTGGATGATTAACAGTCTAATTTCTGTAATGTTTCATAATCTTCTCCCCAGCATTGCCTTTTCCCTCTTTCAGTTTTCCTACCCACTCTGGTCTAGGTGTGGGACATAGCAGCAAAGTAAGGGATGGCAGAGGGAAAAGGGCTTAAATTGTCCAGAAATATAAGCTTTGACAAAGGCTAGCAACACAGAGAGATGTTGTACGCCATAGTATTTACTGATAATATTATATGAATTCTATAAAAACATGTCAATGTCTCCCCAAACATTAGTGCCTAGTGTGAGGACTGATCTCCTCCATTTGTTCTGAAGGAGAATGTTTCATGTATCAGCTTATTAGACAGCAACTAGATATATCTGATAAATGTAGACAAATAGCTATGTCACTGGTGTGACCTTAATGTGAAAGCTCTCCATGGCATACCTCTTTCCTATGGGACTAATTCTCACTGAAATACCAAACAATATGTGTGCAGTAGAAGTTTTTGCTCTGTTGTTGCTTACACTTAATATCTACTAGGTTCTGGCAACAAATAAGCCACCTTTAGTCTGTTTGAAAACAAATCACTGTGTTTTGGTGGCTTACTGTAAATATCTCATGGTTTTCAGTTGTTTGTAATATATCATGCACAGAGAACTACAGGAAAAGAACCACAAGGAACTATAGCACTGGAAGGAAGCCTGGTGCACAGTGATGTGATTCAGCAAAGTAAGGAAGACTTAGGAACAGGCTAGTACACAGCTTCCTCAGGATGCACCAATTAAAATCCTGAGTTTTATGGTGAGATGGCAAGACATTCAAATGATTGAATGCATCTGAGGTCATGCATTTAAGATGTTTCTTATCCTTATCTGGAAATTGCTGGTATGGACATGATGCAAGTCAGCCCATTCTGTTTTGTTTGCCAGGGTGATGCAGTGGATGAAAGCATCCTAGCTGAGAGCAATGATTTTTAAAAATCAAAACAAAAAGCTGCTGGAGTGGTAGCCAGGCCTCAGAGGGGGAACAAATGCCAAGGACTCCTGTGCAGGGTCTGAATAGCAGTATCTAACTGTCAAACCCACTTGCATACTGACCTGGAGATAGTTTTGCTCTCAATTGCCAGCAGTGTTTTTGAAGTGTAATGTGTAATCATGGTTATCCTAGCTGGTACACTGATGTGAGTTCAGTGCTGCTTAGCCTGATGATGCTTCCACATGCTATCTATGAGGAGTGGCATAGCAGGAAGAGGAGACATTTCTGTATTTATTCATTTTCTTTAATGTGAATGTTGCAAGCTTAGTGTTGTTCCATTTGTGTTCCCATAATTTAATAGATTTCAAGTACTTAATCCAAATTTTTCTTTTTTGATAGGAAATATTCTTACACCATAACTAACAAGACTTTAATATTGGCATTGGTTAAAAAGGCTGTAAGATCAATTAAGGAATTGATGAAGCCCAATTTCCTATGGATTTGTCTGGTGTTCCTCCTCTTTTCTTCACTCCTCGTGATACCTTCTCTTCCTCCCATGTCTCCTAAATCTTTACCCCAGTACCCTCAGCACTATCCCATCTCACCAAGTGACTGTTTTGGCAAGAGCTGTATGTATTGTGACTGGGTCTGTGCTACAGGTCTGCTGGTTAGTTAGTGGACACCAAAACACAACACATGACTGTTGAGCTCATGCTGGAGGAGGCTTTCCCTCAGAGGAGGTAACTAAGATGGAGTTCTGACATCTATCCAAAAGTGATGAGTGATTTTTGTTTTGTCTTTTCTTTGAATCTAATAGATTAAAATATGTAATTTAGAAAAGACAGAATGCATTCACTTTTCCTTCTTGCTGTGATACTTCACTTGCAGTGCTCACTTGTGCTGGTTTGACACCCTGAGAATATAGGTGTATTTCTTAGGCATGGCACAAGGACTCCCCTGTAGTTAGACTGGGGTTTATACTGAAAAACCCTTTGAGAAAATGTTTTATGTTACAGGAGAAGTTTCAGAGAGTGTGGTAAACCTTAGAAAATTCAGAGCCTGGGGAAAGAAATGTCTATCTTCTAGGTCTTTCTTATAGTGCATTTAGCATGCTTGCTGAAGCAAAGGAGGACTAGGGATAATCTGTTTTATTTCTTTTTTTCCCCTTGTTGCAGTATACAACAGAAGATTTATTAAGTCTGATTCAAGCAAGTGAAGAAGAAGTACTGCACCAATTGCAGGTTATAGATGCCTGCAAAATTGAAGGTATTCCTCTCTAAAGAATATTGTTGCCTATAAAGAAATAACCCTGTGTTTTTTCCCCCCAATATCTGTCTCTTCTTTTTCTAAGGCCTGTTCTACATCCTTGTCTTTCATGGTGCAAGTTACGTCAAAGTGCTAAGATCTGCTTCCATATTTCCTATATCCTCTGCTGCTGTGAAGCTGATCAAAAGGATAAAACTGAGCAGGTGTTGACCAGTGTGGCTCTTACCAGGGTAATTTCTTCTTTGCTGCTACAAACACTGGCAACAGGGTATCCCACCCACAGCGAAAACATTTTTTGGCTGGTTGCCCTCTGCACAGATGCATGGGTACTGCTTTCTGCAGTTCTGGAGGCAAAAATACCTGATCCTTAGGTAACCCCAGCCCTTTTGTAGCCTTTTGTTCCTCCCAGACTGGGCTTACTTCAGAATTCTTCCTACTGTGTGAGGCAAGGCTAGAAGAAGTGCCTCACCTTGGGCCAGATCCTGCTCATCCTTTACTTGGCCAAGCCCAAACCTTCACCTGGATGCCAGGTGACAGCAGTCCTAGAGTCATACAGTAATGTAGGGCAGAACGTAGCTTTGGATGTTATTAGGTCCAAACTCCTTCTTTAGAACAGGGCCAGCTTGGAGCTGGCTGCTCAGGGCCTTGGCTGGTTGAGTTCTGAGCATTAAATGGGATTTGTAGTGTCTTTGTAGTTAATCTACATAAAAAATTATGAATTATCAGGATGATTTAATTTCTTTCTCCTTTATATTTCCCCTTACTATTCTGTTCTTTTTCTCAGTTTTAATCCTGAAAGGGATAGAATGCTGTTGCTGTACTTTGTAAAGGTGTGACCTAAATGTCCAGGCTCCCCTAATGTATTTTCAGGGAAACGGAATTAAGGTGTTAATATTTTCCTTCTAACACTGTTCTGTGGTTTTCTGTTTGGCAGGATATTGGAGAATTCTAGAATTTGACTATGAGATGAAACTCTTGAATCACGTGACTCAGCTAATAGACTCAGAGTCCTGGCCTTTAACTAAGGTTCCTTTACGTGCCTGCCTTGAGGAGCTTGGATCTCTAGAGCCCACGTAAGCAATTACTTCTAGCGCTTAAAATTTTCAACAATGATTTTTAACTATTATTAGTTGCAATCATTATTAATTACCTACTAGAATTGTAGTCTAATAACTGCAGATTCCAGTTACCGTGGTGTTAATGATAGATTTTCTTTGGCTTTAAAATATACAAGGGCATTAGTGGTTTAGACAGGTTAGTAAACTGATTTTAGTGTCTCTTGCTAACGTTTCCATGGATTCAGCAGCAGAAAGGTGACTGCTGTGCTGTGAATGATGGAAGTAGCATGTACTTGAGCCATAAATTGCTGACCATCCTGAAATACTTGTGAAGCTATAGCTATCCAAAAATGTTTCATTTACCCCTGGTGTGATGCCTGAGATGGTGGTATGTTTTCTGGTATAATCCTGAGTTCACATCTTAAAAGCTGAGTATGTTGTATTGCCATTTAGAGCCATTAAATAATTTAAGATTACTATTCAAACAAGGTTTTAAGTTTACAATATGTAGCATTTTCCATTTATTTGGCTTTTGGCTCAAAATGAATCTTGCTTTAGTATTAGTGTCTGGAGTTATGTTGCAACTTTATACCAGAGGTCTAAAAAAATGCCTGCTATTCTTAAGGGACAATTAACTGCCAAATTTGTGACTCATATCACTTCTCATTGGAAAGAAGTGGCATTACAAGAATCTCTTTTCCTTATTCGCCTTATACTTTTCATTCTTTGCTAGTTATAACTAGAAAGTGGAAGAAACTTCTGGGGATGACATGCTGATTTAACTCCCATATGTCCTTTTTGTCCCCTTTTGTCTTTTAACTTCTAAGTTTATGTCAATTTGTTCATTTCAGCTGTGAAGATGCATTCCATCCTCTATTCTCCTTGTTTTATTTTATTTTTTACCTCTCCATCATCTTTAACTGTTTCTGTAATGTCCTAGTGAACAATTTTAAAACTTGATTTCTTATTTTATTTTTTTTTTCCAGAGAAATGATAGAACATATTCTTTTAAGCTATGGAAAGAAATACAATGATGATGGTAAGTTTGGGAAAGTGAGCATATTTTAATTTTGCAAAAAGAAGATAGTTATTCATGAATAAGTGCAGATTTTGTGAGGATGGCCCAAACAAATTAATTTGCTAAGATGTCAGTAAAAGGAGGAAGCAAACAGTGATCAGTAAAATTGTTAGAAAAATTTTCACTAGAAAAAGAACTATTAAACTCTACAAGAGTAGGGAAAAATAAGGAACTACCAGAGGTACCTGAAGCAATTTGTTAGGTGTCTTCAAGCCATAACTTTGTGACTAAAGATGGATCACTTTTAAACTTCAGATGAACTCTCCTGCCTAGATACTCTAGGAGGTCTTGCCTTTCGTCCTATGAACTGCACCACAAGGTCCACTGATGGTATTGATTAAATCTCTGTTGCCCATCTCACATACAGACATAATATTTCAATGCCTTAATCTCAATCTGAACTCTTTCCTGTGCTTGCTTTCATCTCACCTTTGGTTGAAGTAGAGTTGCACTCAGCCTTAAAGGACAAAGGAAAGTAGTTGGAGTGACACAAAGTGTTTTAGTATATTTTGGTAGGTTGCAGAAGGAGTAGTTTTGAATTCCAGGAAGTCCAGATGACTGAAAAAGTGGAAGGAAATGTTTATGCCTGACGTCCTTCAGAGAGTTTTAGTCAAGGCAGTGAGAATGGAAAGAAATTCTCCTTATTCCTTTAATCATCTTGTATTATAAGGATGATTAGAGGAGTGGAAGTTTCATTTAATTGGTCAACCACAGACAGCAAATGCTTTAATACAAGCCATTCAGAAATAGGAATGAAAGCTGTAGGAAAAAGTGTTAACTGTGAAAGGGAAAAACAAGATATTGGAGGGGGAAATAAATGAATTTATATATGTGGATTAATCCTGTAGTTTGGACAGTGCTGCACACCCGTGCATAATATTCTGCTTCATTTGTTCTTGAGAATGACATAATTTATCCAAAGGAATACCAAGTTGGATTGCTCCCAGAGGAAAACCAAAACAAGGATGCTTGGTTTGCAGAAGACTGTAGAGCAGAATGGAATACAAGCCTGTTCTCTGTTTTTTTTATCAAAAAGCAAGGACCTAAGATATCTTTTTTTTTTGTTTCTCAGCAGGGGAGGTTTACTTTGAAATGCATGAAGATAAAGTATGCAGAGGTATAGCACAAATGCTGTTGCAAAATGTAGTTAAATTTAATTTATCAGAGTTTCAAGAAGTCTGGCAACAAAGTGTCCCTGAAGGGATGACAACAAGGCTTGATCAGCTCAAGGTAAAAACATAAAGAAGTATGGGTTCTTTTTCGGGTAGACTGTGAACTGACTTGTGTAGTAGGTAGATTTTATTGATTACTGGAGATGGATTTTGTTATTTCTGTCACATTTCAAGTTGAAGTATGTGTGACATCATCTGTGAGCATCAGTAGCCTGGGATCATGCCAGTTTGGGTTTCTGTAAGTCTGGCATGTTTGACTGTTGGAAAAAGTTGCAGCAGTGCTTGTAACCAGAGTAGCTGAAGCTATCGCTGAGCAGAGTGCTGTGACAGCCAGATGAGCAGCAAGCATTGTGAGAATCCTTTTGCTCAAAGGAGGCAGAGTGATGTTGGGACTCACTGGATTACTGGATTTCTCCCTTCCTTCTTGTCATAAAGGACATGATAAACACTGCCTCTGAAAGAGTGCCTTTATGATACTTTTTCACTTTGCCTCCAGTAGTGCAGTTTTAGAAGGCTTTGGATGTGCAGAGGGCAGACAACTTGGGTGGATTGCTGCCAGAAAGAAGGAATTTTAATGGTTTTGTCTTTAGTTAATATTTTCTCTCTGTTGCTGATAAGCAGGGCTTGGCTCTTGTGGATAAAAGCTCAAGACCAGAGACGATATTTCTGCTCAAGGTGGAAGACTTACCCGAAGACAATCAGGAAAGATTCAACAGCTTATTCAGCATACGGGAAAAGTGGACGGAAGTGGATATTACCCCGTACATACAGTAAGGATATATTTCTTTTTATTAAAATATTACTAGCATTATACGCCTCCCTTTTTCCATAGCCAACTTCTTATCACCTGTGATTGCCTCAAATACTACACTTCCTATTTTAAATTAATATGAATTCTGTATTAATAGAATCCTCACCTCTGGGAACTGTAACTGGTTTTTTGATTTAAATTGGTAAGCTGATGCTACTGAATTTAAATATGGGTAATAACCAAAATCCTTGTTTCTGAAGTAAAGAATATAGTTTTGCCTGTTGCTTAAACATCAGGCCAAGGTCTAAACTAGGTTTAAAGTATTTGTGATAGTCCCAGTAGTATTTTTTTTTTTCTTCCAATACCCTAATCCACTTTATTGCTATATTTACAAATATTTTATGGACTCATTTTGTATGATAATGTCTCTGATGCCAATGCCATCTGCTTTATTCCCTCTGTAGAGACTTATGTGCAGAGAAGCAGACAGTTGGTGCTCTCCTGACAAAATATGCTCGCTCCTCAATGCAGAACGGTGTTAAAGTTTATAATTCTAGAAGACCCATCTCATAACAAGAATTGTTTTAAGAACTGAGAATACTGAATGGAGTAAAAGTGAATGTTGCCTGTTCAGCGGGAGTTATCAGCCAGTATTATCCAGTGTTCTTCAGTGTAAGCAACTAAGCTTCTTGGTTGATTTCAGTTTTCTACTCAGCTACATAGGGCGTGAGGGCACTTGCCTTTTCTAAGGAACTGTAGTGACAGCAGCCCATGCCCATCTTCTGCCTCTGTGACTGTAGTTATGCCAGGGGTCAAGCTACTTCCTGAATACACTTTAGCTGTCTATCCATAAACTGACACTATAATCCAGGAGGTTTTAATTTTTAATTGAATCAATAGTATTGATTTCAACAGCAAAATGAAATGTTTAGTATTCTGCCCATTGGAGTGAGCATTCTTAAAGTTAAAGATTTAATTGCAGTGTTGACATTCTGAATACTACAGAACCTGACAAGCTCATGAACAAATTATTCCTGATGGAGACGACACTAGTCTTAATTTTGGAAGGTGGTTCTTCTTGTGGTCATGTCCGTAAATAACATCAGCAGAAGCTTTTGTCGCTTCACACTTGGCAGAATTGCCTTTTAAATACTACAAACAACCAAATTGCAATCAAATGTGAAGATACATTGTATTATGAACTCCCTAAAAGCTGCCACTTAGAATGTAGCTGAGGTAAAATTAATGTTTTACAGAAGTCTGCCTTTGCTGTTTAAAGAGAACTTAGAAAACTTGCTAATATGATTGTTATGGCAAAAAACTGCATGCAGAATTGTGCCTTGAGAACTTGGGGTGAAGTAGTGTTCTGTGCAGAGCAATGAAATGGGATTTTTTTTTATTATTGTACTGGTTGGTCGGGGTGGCTGGGATTGCGGGGGGATTG